GGGGGGGGGGGGGTTGTGGGTTTTGCGGATTGTGGCGGGCTGGCCGCGAAGGCTGCGATGTCATTGCATGCCCCAAGCACCGCCCGAAGCCCCGTGCGCCAGGGAACAAGGGCGCAACGCACCCTGCCGCCAGCCAGGCGCCGTCCCCCATGGGCGTGATGAGACGGTCATCCACGCGCGCGCGCGCACGCGCTCCCCCGCCGCCCCGCACCCCCCCACCTTGAACTGGCCGCCCGATGTGTAATGCAGCATGCCGCAGTTGTTGGAGATTTGGTTGAAGGCCAGCAGCAGGAAGCCCATGTTCATGCCCTCAACAATGGGGCGCAGCCCCGTCATGGCCGCGCCCACGCCCATGCCCATGAAACCGTTCTCTGCGGGGCGTGCCGCGATGGGCACAGGGGCCGCACAGGCGTGGGGTTGCAGAGGTGGTGTTGTGCGACCCAAAAAACGCCGAGCCAGAGGGTCGGCGGACGTCATGCAGCGATTGGCTGACGAGGGCTGCGCCCAACCGCATCTCGCCTTTGGCAGCTGCCCCATCCACAAGCTGCGCCCCCCGATGCACTCCTCATGCCGGCCCGCGCACAGCCCCAACCCCCAACCACACTCACCGCAGATGGGGGTGTCCAGCACGCGCATGTCCCCGTACTTCTTGTAGAGCCCGTAAGTGACCTTGTAGCTGCCGCCGTAGTGACCCACGTCCTCGCCTGCACGCAGGGGAGGGTGGGGCCGACGCGCGGTCGGGGCGCGGCGGCGCTCGGCACGGCTCGCATGCTGCAGCACGGCTCTGATGCGGCGCCGCCGTTTGGCGCAGAACGCCTGGACCGCCTTCAAACTCAAGTCTTCTGTCCTACGTGCCGATCAAGTGCACCGACAGTTGCGGCCGCGGCTCTGCGGCCCGGGCCCACCCCCAGTCCGTTGGGGAGGGCCGCTGCCGCTCTCACCCATGACGCAGACGGTGGGGTCCCGCTCCATCTCCTCGTCCGTCGCCTCGCGCAGTGCCTCCCACATCATGATCTCCTTCTTCTGGGAGCGCGCCACCACGACGCGGGCGGCGCGGCCTGCGGGCGCGGGAAATTGCGGGGGCGATCGGCCGGGCGGCGGCGGAGCAGCGCGAGCGCGCGCCGACGCAGGACAAACCAGGGTGTTGCGCGGGCGGACCCAGGCGAGGATGCATATGTAGGTTCGCGATATAGGTGTCACATACAGCAAGAAGGCCGGCGAATTGCCGCCTGCTGGCAGTTCGCATGCCCCGCGCTGAAAAATGAGCGTTAGTCCCCGCCGTCTGCCCTGAGGTCCCGATCAGCGGCTATTCGGAGGATTTAACGCAAGGATTTCTCTTTTCGTGCGTAACTCCCATCAATGGCGCACCTGGCCTGCCAGTGATCGCAGCAGGCCTGGCGAGCTGCGCCCGCCCTGAGTTTACGCGCATGGTCTGCATGGTGACTGTGTCGAGTTAGGATATGCAGACCTCTGGGTAAGGTGGGAGCAGCGGAGCTGCAAAAATGAAGAACATGCAAGAACACACTTCCCTGCTCACACTGCAATAGCAGACTGGTGACGGTCGCGGGCGTGGAAACATGTACACACGGTTTGAACCATTGCATAGGATCATGGACGCTCCTGAGACATAGTTGAGGCAATTCACGCTGGCCGCTGCGCGATCAGGCGAGCTGGCGCACAGGCGTCGGACGTCGGAGTCTGAGAGTCAGGTGCCACCTGTTTCCGAGTTGCTTCAGGGGCGCGAAGCCGGCGCCAAAGTGCTTGTTGTATATGATTTTATGGCTGTCGCGAGGGTTGGCAAAGCTCCAGGTGCCATGCCTTTGCCCTGAGGCCCATGTGCGGCCAATCCTGTCACGCCTGCGCTCCGAGGCAGTGCTTGAGCCATCACTCCTGGATTCCACCGAGAAGTCGAGCAAGATCCTGCGCTACCTGGTGGCTGCTCTAGTACTGGCTTCACCAAATAGCCATGTCTGGGTTGGGAGCTGACCGATCACGCTCGGGCATACTCTTGAGTACGACCGCATGCGTGCGTTTCTCGTTGTCTGATTGTGGAGGAGCCAAGGGGGACACTTACACCAGCAATCGGGTTGACTTTGGGAAGATGCAAACGGTCACGGTGATGGCTACATCAATGCTGACTAAACGGGTCACCTGCTGTACTACAACATCCTGCCAGATGTCAAACCAGTCCGCTGCCGCTGCGCCCTGCACACGCGCCAGCTCAGCCGACGAGCTGTGCAATCGCCGCCTGCACGTCATTGTGCGTCCGCTGCAGCGCCGCCGCTGCGCGCGACTGCTCAAAGCCCATACCGACCAGCATCGCCAGCGCCTCGGGCGACGGCTCCGGCGGCGGCCCTGCGGGCGCCTGCGGGGCGCGCCGCGCGCCTCCGCGCCCGAGGTCGGGGCCGCGTGCAAAGCCGGCGCCGTGCTGCCGCGCCGCAGCTGCGCTGGGCAGCATCACCACTGCGCCGCCGGTCCCGTCGCCAAGCAGAGGGCCAAAAGCCTGCGACAGCGCACGCACCAGCGGCTGCGGCAGCTGCGGGTTGGAAAAGAGTCGGAGCGATTCGCAGCCTGTCAGCGGCGGGCGTGCGTCAGCGGGCGGAAGTTGCAGAAGGGAAGGCGGCGGCGCAGTCTCACAAGGGCTCAAGCGACTGAGGCGTGCAGCGGCGGGACGCACGTGTGCGCCCCTGCGCCTCCCCTGGGCGCACCTGCAGCTTCCTCAGTCCGAGGAAGTTCGCCCGATGCAGCACGCCCGCCGCGACGCACAGCGCGCTAGCAAGCAGCCCCCGCCGCCCCACCGCCAGCAGCAGCTGCAGGCCCGACAGGTACACGAAGGCCTTTTCGCTGCATGTGACGCCCAGCATCGAGAAGCTGCTGGTGGCGGGGACGTCCAGGGCGAAGGGCACGAACGACGCGAGGACGAGGGGGACGGGGACGGGCAGCAGCGGCGCGGCGGCGTGGAGGCGCAGCAGGCGGGCGGCGGCGAGCTGCAGAATGTAGGACAGGCCTGTGACGCTGCGCGCGTTTGAAGTAGGTTGGGGGTAGGGGGGCGTTGGCTTTTGGATCGTGAGTTTGGGGGAGAGGGGGATGGCGTGGTGATTAATGGGAGGCGGCGTGCACGGCAGCTCTTACCCCTCGTTTTGCTGCCTGTTGCGATCATGCGGCTGGGCACCCCGCCAAATGCCAGCCGCTGCCGCTTGCCCCTGGTACCCTTGCTTGGGCCCGCCACCCAATCCCCCCCACCTGGCTGCGTAGGACCCGTATTTGGTGCTGCCAAGCTGCCGCTCAATCAGCCTAGAGCAGGGTACAGTATGCGATGGCGAAGTTGTGGATGGTCGCAAACCGCCTGAAGGTGGTGCAACCCAACGCGCGGTAGTGCGGATGACAGGGCTGGGGCAGGGGGTGAAGCAGGAGTGTCGCAAGACAGGCAGCTGTCTTGTCGCCGTTGAGCACCGCGTACTGCCCACCTGAACTGGTACATGAGCAGACACCCAAACAGCAGCTGCGAAGGGCTCTTGAAAGCCAGCCCTTGGCCGAGGCCGCGAAACAGCAGTGGTGCACGCCCATGTGTCTGGCGCGCTGCATGTGCTATCAGCGAGGCCCCCGCTGTGGCCAGCAGCAACCCTTTGGTTACGGGTGCGTGCACGAAGCCCCCTGGTGTTGCGCTCATGACTGCCTGATGTATCAGCACTCCCTCAGTCCTTCTTCAGTTGGCCAGATCACTGACAACGCCAGGTTTACAACTTTAGCAGTGTGTGAGAACTACAAGCTTCCAATGTGTGCTGATGCAGAGGGCTATACCACGAGAAAACCATGATTCGCGCCCCGCTAGCTGCTTACGGCATGCGTAAAGAACTCCTAAGCAACACTTTTCGTACAAAATCAATTAGCAGTAATCCATCATCCTAAGCACACAGCACTCTCCGAAATGGCCCTCTCCCTCGCCAAAAGCCAGGCCTGTGCCACGACGACCCAGCAGAGGCGGGCCCTCGCTCTTGGGCGGCCATCTGTGCAATCTGTTTCCCTCAGGCAGCCCAATGTGACCACCCGGTCACTCGGCGGCGGCGGCCAGGGTGCGCATCGCTGCTAGCCCCCACCGCCCCCAGCCACGCGTTTGCAGCATCCGCCCGCTTATAGCCCCACTTGTGGCTTGGCAGCGCGCGGCGATCTGTGCGATACATGTGTGGAGCTTGTTTGCCGCGGCCGCGACTTGTCAGTCTTGGATGCACCCGCCTGTGATTGTGCAGCCCTGTCCCCACCGCCTGCACAGGCAGCCGTGTGTCGAGCCACCTCATGGCTCGTGTCCCTCTCTTGGAAAGTGCTGTTGAACACGAGGAAGCACTCATTTCAACCCTCCCTCCTCCTCCCATGTACTTATCCAGGCCCGGACAAGAAGTTCATTTCACGGGAGGAGGAGCCCGAGGAGTGAGCTGGGCGCGGCGGCACCTGGGGGGTGGCAGCATCGCGGGGTGGCGGGGAGCGGGAGATGGGGTTGATGGGCAGTGGTGAGAGACTGGTGGAGCAGGGATTGACACCCCAGACCACAGCACATGTCGGCCGACGACCTGAACGAAGCCAGCCATGGCTTTGCAGCAGGCCGACGCCACGGCCGCTACCGTGCTGGGGTTGCTCCTGTGCGGTTGCGAAGCGGCCACGGTACCGTCGGCACACGGCAAAATCGCAGCGGCCACACACATCCTAACTGGGTGCTCTCAATGTGGCGCGTCTTCATCCCGGTTTTGGTCTTTTCCTGCTGCATTTGTCAGTTGTGAACTGACATGATGTATGCCATCCGTACCCGTCCTCTCCCACCCCAAGGTACTGGTCCAGCAAGAACGAGAAGGAGGGCCTCGCCGTGTTCACGGTGAGAAGCGCGGCGCGCCCTCAAGCCGCGCCGCGGCGCCTAGTAACAGCAAGCCACGCGCTGGCGCCGGCTCGTCGCCCGGCGTAGCGCTGGTGCATCGTGCACACCGGGTCCTGCGGCGCTGCCCGCGCGGCGCCGTTCCTTTGACCGTGGCTGACCGCTGCTCTTGCGCCGCGCCCCGCTCTCTCTCCGCCCGCCCCAGGACCCCCTGGCCATCATCGGCGTCATCGCCATCCTCTTCCCCTTCATCTTCGTGCTCATCGCCATCGCCACTGGCGCCATCGACACCAGGTGGGAGCCCGCTTTCCGACAACAATGTCAGAAAGCGCTACGCCTGTGCCTTGAAGGGCCTCTGCATGTGCATCCGGCGGCCCGCTTGCACCGGTGCTTGTATGGCCTTTACATTGCCGCGAGCTTCAGGTCCCCGGGCTCCGGGCCCGGTGCTCAACATGCAAGCGGGCTGTTACTGAGTGCATCCCGTCACCCACGCCGCCTCACTGCTGCCCTGGACCCCGCTGCCGGCCCGCACCGCAGCGTTTACAAGTAGACCTGTCCCGAGCCAGTGTTCGGACTGTGAGCGCGCCGCAATCTTGCAGTTAGAGGGCTGAGCGGCGCGGCGGGCCGGTGCCCGCCCGTACGTGATGAGTGACGGGGGCTGCTTTCTTTGCCCGGCCGTTCCCAGGCGGCCGACGGCCACCCGGCGTTTTTAAAATCCCAATGTGGGAGGCCTGGTGCTGCCAGAGGGCGACTGCAAGAGCTCCCAGGGAGATTGGGCGAGCAAACAGACAGAGCTGCGGCAGTCATTTTGCCCCCCCTCCGAGAGTAGTGTGGATGTTGGCGGCCGAAGTTGCCGATGCCTGGCTCCACGCGAGGTCCCAAGGTGTTGCATCCGGAGTGTTGCATCCCGTTGACTGCCTTTTCGTTGTTGTTGTGGTCGTGAGTGACATGCGGCTTGATCGGTAACCAACAAGTGCGTTGAAACCTCGGGTTTGGGAGAAGAAAAACGGCACCTGCAGGCTGGGCCGATGCGCATCATGCAAAAAATCCAGAAACACCTGCTGTTTGGGCTTGTCACTGTTTTTTCGGGGGTCGTTGCGGTACTGCGCAGCCACCGCGACCATCGCCCTCGGGGAATCAGCTGGGCTACCACCGCCCTGGAAGCACAGGGTTACCAGCCAGCAAATAGGTTGTCAAGGCGCCAGCAAACATTGCTGATTGTCGTAAAACCTCACACTGCACCCCCTGACTGTCAACCCATTGGAACAGAATCGGACACGCCAGCCGTTCCCGCATCCCAACAAATGCGCCAGCACCGTGCGTGCCCTACCCTTTCACCGCACACTCCCTCACCCTGGAATTGATGGCGACACGCATTCATGTCACGCATGAATCGCGAACGCTTCTTGGGTTTTCTTGTCAGCAACAGAGAGGGCTCAGTGCTTCGGGCTGCTTCCACATGTGCTGCTTACTCATGCGCACCGCTCACCATCCCTCCCCATGAGCCAATCGATATAGCATGGGGGACATTGATAACCCTCATATTAATGAGGATGGGGGGGTGTGGCCGGCCGCTTTGGCTGCTAAACTAGGGATGGCTTGTGATGGTGGTCGGGAGTGAACTACTGGGTAGGTTGGAGGAGGTTTGGGTAGTTTGGGCAAAGACACGGGCAGGACTCCATACTTGGACAGAGCCTGGCTTCAATGCCAATTGTCTTTGATGGCTGTGCCCACAGCTGTGGTGGTTGCGGGACTCGCACGGCACCGTGCACAGCAGACCACGGACACTTGTCAGGTGTGGGTGGCACCGGCAGGTGTCGCCCTTCAGCGAGCGTTGCACATGCTATGCACAGGCCAAGTGGGGTTCTTAAGACTTGTTTCGCTCGTCTTCACCTTGGGCTCGGCCCTCCCCGCTTTGTGACACAACAGAGACTTTGCAGGGCTGATCTGTGGTCCACCTCGCGCGCCCCTCGCCGCGCCCAGCCTCCTGATTCGTTTGAGTTTGCCGATCGCGTCATGCAAGCTCTTCAGCTGCGCCCGCGCGCGGCCATTGGCTCGTCAGCACGCTTGCAGCACGCAGCTCTCCCGCGCCTCAGCGCGCTCCACACGGCTGTCAGAATACGACATGTGTGTCATGCGGAAGGCGGGGACGCCGAAGCCTTACCAGGCGTCCTGACTGTGGAGGAAGCGCGCGGCGTGCTCGGCGTCGCCGCCTCAGCTTCGTTCGACGACATCTTGTCTGCCAAAAGCAAAAAGCTTGAGGGCACCGATGACGATGGCCGCCTCAAGGCAAGGATCCATGCGCTCTGAGGCTGGTGGTTTCGGGCGGCAGCGCAGCGAGCGCACACTCGCCCTTGTCACGGCACTGGCCCTGTTGATGGGGCTTAGCCGCTCGCCCGCGGAACACCTCTTGAGCCCTGGGACCGCGCCCTGCGCCTCCAAACCCCCACGTCCTGTAGGTGGAGGCTGCATACGACGTCCTGTTCATGCACAGCATGAAGAAGCGCATCACAGGGGAGCTGCAGGTGCCCACCGGCGTCCGCTACGCCGACGTGCCGCAGCAGAAGAAGCGCGGCGGCGGCGGCAGCGGCTCGGCGGTGCGTGCGGCGCGGGGGAAGGAAGCAACGGTCGCTGCTTGCCACCGCACTCTGCATCCACACTCACTCAGACCTCCCACTTGCGGCGCGGACCACATTTTCGTTGTCCGTTTTGTTTGGGGGGGGGGTGCATTCGTGGCGACAACACTTCTGCAAGAATATCACCCAGCGTCATCACCCGCCCACAGCAAGACTGCTCATTGCCTCCAATGCACACACCCACAAGCCCTCGCTCAACGGCCCCCTCCCGTCGTACCCCGTCTCCCCCGCAGCGCGGCGCCTCGCAGCAGCCCGCCCTCCTGCAGAAGCTCCCCGGCGGCGTCGGCGTCGCAACGCCGTCGGCGCCCAACGCGGTCGCGCTGCAGATCGCCGTCTTCGGCGCGCTGGCGGCGTGGGCGCTGGCGGGCGCGCTGCTGGAGGGGCCGGAGGCGCAGGCGGCGGATACCGGCGGCCTGCAGCTCGCGCTGGCGGGCGCCTTCAGCATCTATCAGCTGCGGGACGCCAAGCGCGTGTCCATAGGTGCGGCGCAGCCCGCCCGCCCGCACGCCCGCGCGGCGCGGCGCGGCGCGCACGCACGCTTGCGCCCGCGCTCTGTGGTCGTTGCGTTCATGTGATGGTGACGGGCCAGCCAGTAGCTGCCCCTGCACTACCAGGGTGTGCTTGAGCGTTGGGGCCAAACTATCTGGCGACTGTGTTGGCACCCACCCCTGTCTTTGATCAGCACATGCGGCGCCTGCCTCCCGCTGTCCGCCCCTCAACCTTCACTTGTCCGCGCTGGCGCGCCCTCGCCCATCACAGGCCGCGCGGCGGGCATCACGTTTGGCGCCATGGTGGCGGGCATCATGCTTGGCGCAGGGCTCAACGCGTGGCTGCAGATTGACATCGTGCCCATCGGGGTGAGTGGGCAAGCAGAAGGCCGGGGAAGAGGCAGAGCCACGCATGGCCTTTAATGTTGAAGCGGGCACCTGGTTTTTTCTTTCAATTGCTAGCTGATGCATTCCCTCTTGGACACGCTGTGTCAAGGAAGCACCCCCCCAGCGGCGGCTGCTTGGGGTCGACCGACGCGTCGGCGGTTTTAAATCAACACCCACAACTGCGAACCTCTGCCCTGCTCATTTCCTGACTGCGCCCCCAGAACTTCGCCTCTCCAGGCGTCTTTGTGACGCTCTGGGCGATCGCCGCCATCGCCGCCGGCTGCTTCTTCATCGTGTGAGGCGGTGAGGGGTCTGCAGGCTTCGCAGCCTAGGTGCTTGCAGTGGCTCGGGGCAAGACAGCGTGACACTCGCCTCTCCGCGCGCTGCTGCTGCTGCTGCGCACCGCACACGGGCTGTGCTGTTCGCGCTTGTTTTGACACCAACCGCCATCACGGCCCACCAGGGTCTCGTACGTGTCAGGGTCGTCCCCTTGCCCACCCTGGCACGTAGGGTGGCCCCCATGCGTCTCCTCCCCCCGCGTTTCTGCCGAATGGATGAATGAAAATTTCTTTACCCCGAACAGGTCGTGATGGGCCCGGTCCCCAGTCAACGCGCAGCTGCAGCCCAGCTGTCCACGGCCGCGCGACCCTGCGTCGCTGCTGGCCGGCGTCTAGACGGCGCCTTTGGTCGCTGGTGGCGACAGTGGCGGCGGCAGCGGCGGCGCAGGACGACGATCCGGCAATAAGTCGGGTTGCTGGCGCTGCGTGCGCGAGCGCGCTAGGCTCGCGGCGTGCTGTGCACTGGGAGCTGCGGTTTATGCAACAACAGAGAGGATTGTGGGAGGGGGGGGAGAGCTGCCCATTGTACAATGCACCCGGGCCGCCCAGTTTGCCGTTTGGTGCGCCGATTGCGCGGGGCAGCCGCTTGGCGGCCCCGCGCATCTGTACAATTTTGCAACAGGGACGGCGCCCTGTCCCGCCGCGCTGCGGCAACCCTCAAATGGTGTTGATGGTCTGCGTGCCCCGGCGCCGAAGACCCCTGGGTACGCCGGCAGGCGGCCGCGGCAGCCCGCGGCTGCGGGCTTGGGTTTATGGTGTGTGCTGCCCCGACCGCTCGGAGCAGAGGTGTTGGTATGGATTGCGTTGGTGGGCGTGCGCACCGGCTGAGAACACTACCAAGGAGTAACGCCCTGCCCCGCTCGGCCGCGCGCTGCCCGCAAGCTGACCGCAAACTGACAGACTGGGAGAGCTTGCTGGGTGACTGGGGCGTGGGTTCCTGGCCCACAAATCACAGCCCCTGGTTGCAGCCCTTGGTGTACTATGATGTAGCGGAGAATGCTTGCCCCGCATCAACAGCAGGGGCCAGAAAAAGGCAGTCGTGCTATCTGTTTACAATTGAGATGATGAACAGTTCATTCAGTCTGCGGGGACCGAGTGCCAGCGCGCGACAGCAAACGCCGCTGCGCCGCACCCAGGGCAATCTTCTCTCAGTGGACGCTGCGAGCGGCGCCAGGCCGGCGCGCCATTAGAGCAAGGGCGGCGCCCGGCGGGGGGCCTGAGCGCGCGGCAACAACACAGTTGCAGGAGGGACGACCAAAAAAAAACTCTTCCTCTAGTCCCCGACGGGGGCAGGCGGCGCGCGCGCGTCGCCTGGCGGGCCCGAGAGGGCCGGAGATGGGCGTGCCGAGGGGGCCGGGCCGAGGGGTTGAGGGTCGGCGCTTGCCCACATCAGTCCCTGGCGGTGTAGCCGTAGTACTCTGTGGGGAAAGGAGGGCAAGATGATGGTGGTGTGATGGCAGATTGACGCGATGCGAGCTGTGGGGTTTCAAGGGCTGCAGGGCGCCCTGAGTGTCTGGCAGTCGGGCTGGGCCAGGTGATGTGGGGTGTGGGTGTGCACGCCCGTCCCGTCTGTGTGTCCCTGCATTTGAATTCGCACGAGGCTGGCCCCTGTGCAGATCAACAGGACCTCGGCACCCCCGCTACCCTGCCACGTCGAGCACAGCATGAGCTGAGGTGCAGGCGCGGCAGCGGCTCAGCTGCAGCCCCCAGCCAGGCCGCCAGAGCGGCAGGCGGCCTGCCGCTTCCCCCTGTTGCCGCAGACGCTGCCGCCCTGTGCAGCCGCTCCCCCCCCCCGCCTGGGTGTCCACGTGCCCCCGGCGCTCACGCAGCATGGGCACGACGCAGGCGATGACGAGCAGCGTGAGCACCACGGTGGAGGTCACGGTCTTGCTCTTCTCCGTCTCGGCCTTGGTCTTGTAGGTGCGCTGGCGCACGGCGTCGTTGCGCTTGGGGGCCTCTGTGGGAAGCATTCACAAAAACGAGGGGGGCCAGCGGTGGACGGTTCGGATCGAGCGTCGGTGGGCCGGCGTCGCGCGGCGTTCCGGCCCTGCCCCGGCCCCCCAAACCCGATCGGGCCCCTCCCACACCCGCCGCGCCTCACAACGGCCCCTGCACCCCTGCCCTCCCCCGCCGCGGCCTCCGCTTCCGCCGGCGCCCTCCTCCTCCCGCGGCCGCTCCACCCGCGGCGCACCCAGGCCCCGCAGACGCCCTCCGCTGCCCCCCAAACACACACGAAAGCGCCCGCCTCGACCCCGGCTTTTCCTCACCCGGCACCGTGTTGCCGTTGAGCTTGGCGTCAACGCGCTCCAGGGATGACGTGATGGCGGCGTTGAACTTCTCCTCCTCAGCAAACACGGGGATGTTCTCGCTCGCGATGGAGTCCAGGAGCTCCTCGCCCACGGCCTGCCCGGGTGGGTGGACGAGGGCAGCGACGCGGGGG